TCACATCGATGTCTCTCTCTCTCTCTCTCTCTCTCTCTCTCTCTCTCTCTCTCTCCTCTCCCTTCCCTTTTATTCTTTTTAAAATCAATGGGGAAAAAACATCCTCCTGTGAGGATTAACCAAAAATAATAATAATAATCAAGGAAAAATTGGGGCCGAAGTGGATGGAGAGCTTTAGAGCACAGGTGCCCCCATCACTGCATGAAGGAGAAAGCCTCGGCCTGGGGTGGGTCAGGGTGGCCAAGCCGTTCAGGGTACGAAGGACAGCTGAGACCAGAGCCACGTGCCCTGACCCCTTGCAGCTCTCACCCCCCAACCTCCTGCCTCTGACCCCTGGGGCCGTCTGCTCAGCCTTGACCTTGAATGACAGCACTGCTGACCCCTTCCTCTGGGCGGGAGCCCTTCGGGATGGGAAAGACAGAGGCCTGGGGTCTGGGGTAACTCAGGCCCTCGAGCCTGGCCTGGGGCCTGGGGTGGCAGGCCCACGTGGGCGCCCCTGGGCACAGTTGGGGGCGACGCTCAGGGTACCCATCTTGGCCCTGGGCTGGAGCCGCCCAGGCTGCAGCTGCCCTGTTTCCACATCGGCAGCAGCAAGTCCGGGCGCCTGAGAAAACAGGAAGCGCCCAGTCACCACAGGAAGCATGTGTGCGCAGCCTCCCCACCCCCGGCCCATTGCAAAACGCCAACAGCCCCATTACCACAGGCACCGCACAGGCAGAAACGCTCCGGCCGGCCCTCGGGCTTGCCCAGCAGCCCGACAGGCAGGCTCCAGCCCTCCCGCCCCGGCCGGCGGGCCGCAGGGTGGTGTCCAGCTGTGGCCTGGAGCAGCGGGTGGTTCCCAGGCTCAGGCCTCATGCCTTCCTCTGGGTCCTCAGCCCAGTCCGCAACCTGGCCTGAGCCAGGTCTGCTTTGCCCACTGTTAAATCAGAATTTGGGGTCAAGGGTCACAGAGAAGCCATTTCTCTGTGTGGGTGGTTGGCATTTGAGAACTCTGGGCCCGGCCTTCAGACCCTGACAGGACCCAATCCCCCAGCCTCACTGAGGCCGTTGGCCCAGAGCCTGCCACCCCCACGACCCCAGGGAGCCATCTGCTTTCAAGCCGACACCTGCCTGCCACACCCTCTCTGCCCAGCCCCATGCCTTCCCAGCTGAGACTGTGCCAGCCCCTGGGTCCTACCCAGGCTAGCCTCTGGGAGGCCGGCCCCTCCTCATCCCGCCCTGGCTGCACCCACTCACCGCTTGCTTCTGACTCCTGGCTCAACCCTCGGAGGGAGACAGGAGCCCAGCGAGGCCCAGACCCAGTTCCTGGGGAGGTCTGTGCTCCTCCAGGCCCGGGGACAGCAAGGAAAAGAGAAGAGAGCAGAGCATTTCATGGCTATAATAAATCAAAGGGGGAAGTCAAGCAGGAGAAATAAGAAACTTCCCTACCCTGGGCACAGGGACCTGCCAGGCAGCAGCCCCGGTGCCCCAAGGCCTTCCCTCCTCCCTCCTGCCTCCCTGGCCAGGGCCCAGATCTAGTGCCCTCGCCCCAGGCCTAGGCACCTGGGCACCCAACAACCCTTCTTGCTGTGCATCCTGGGGCTGGGCACCTCTTGTCTCTGGGTCTCAGTTTCCTCTTCATGGGCACAGAAATCTGAGAGTCGGGTGCTGGCCGCCTCCAGAGAGAGCTGCAGATGGGTGGCGCCCCTTTGGACAAGGACCCTCGGGGACGAAGGGAGGATGAGGCATCCTGAGAATTCCTAGTGGGAGAGCGGGGCTGGGCTGGACAAACGTCTATGAGAGGAGAAGCGGGCCCAAAGCTAGAGGCAGGAGCGCGGACCAGAGGCAGGGAGGGCCCTGGACTGCGAGAGAGAACAGGCAGGGCTTGACCTCAACGCTGTCCCTGCTAAACTCCCGAAGCCGGACCACGGGGCCCGGGGGCCGGGCACCACTGTGTGGGCACTGTGGGCACCATGGCATGCCTTCCGCTCAGGTAGAGACTTTTTTTTTTAAAGGGGAGGAAAGCTGACATATTAAAAAGAAGGATGCCCATCTGTATACATTTTCAAGATATAAAATGAGGAACTTCAGGAACATTTCGGCTACTTTGGGGGCCACTGTGAGCCATGCCCTCAGATGCCGGCAGACCCTCCTCCAGCCGCTCCTCGGCCATCGAAGCACATGGGTGGAGACTCAGGAGGCCTTGACTTGAAGCCCTCCTGAGACGGTGCGCTCACTCCCTTACTCCAGGGGCCTGTGCTCTCACTAGGAGCAGATCCCCCTGAGTGCCAGCCCGGGGGCTCCGGCGATGTCTGCTGGACGGCTGTCAGCTGGGGCAGGGATGCGGGAGAGAGCACGGCCTGGGATCCCTCCCAGCCTCAGCGATCATGCTGCTTCCCTCCCAACCTGTCAGGCAGAGAAGATAAGAAAGTGGCAGTGACTGTGGGAGTCCAGACTGCCGAGCCAGACAGATCCAACAGCGTGCAGGGCGTGAACCTGGGCAAGTGACCTCACCTCTGGGGCCTCAGTTTCCCCATTTGGAAAATGCCTACCTTGAAAATTTGCAAAGAGACAAAGGAGGTCATGGGATGGGGTGTTTGTGTGGCCAACATCAGACCAGCATCACACAACAGAGGCCCCTCCCATGAGCACTCAGAAGCCCCACTTCCTCCCTCCTCTCCCCTTCACCTGCCTGAGGGGGGTGAGAACCTCAGCTCCCAGTTCTTCTCTGCACCCCCAGGGCCCCTGGCCTCGCTCTGACCTGTCAGGTCTGGGAGCATGCTGTAGCTGTGGTTCCCAGCCCTACCCCAAGGCGCTCCCTCCCTGGGACGGAGACCTGGAGGCCCAAACACCTGCCCTGGCAGGACTCCCCACCTCTGCTCACTCGCCTCCTACCCTCACAGATGCCCCTTTCATCCTCAGGCAGCCACGACTGTTTCAGGCACTGGTGCCATTCATCGGGCACTTTCCATGCACAATGTCTTGCAATCCTTGAAGCTGCAGGTATTCTGATCCCCATTTCACAGATGAGGACACTGAGGCTCAGAGGGGAGGAGTGACTGGTACAAGATCAGCTGTCCAGAAAGGTGCCGTTCCGAGATGGGGGCTCGGTTCTGACCGCCGACCCAGTGGAAACCCTATGCAAACCAGGATGCAAAGCAGCACCTCTTCCTTTGAGCCTGTCGGGGTGTCACTGCTGCCCAGGCCCATGGCTTATCCAGTTCCCCAGCTCTCTCCCCATCACCAGAGCTCCTGCTTCTCCTGGTCCAGGTTGCAGGATGTCAGTTGGCAATTTTCCAGCCTCCGGTGCCCAAGAGAGCAGAGAGATGGTAAAACGCAGAAAGGTGAGCAGACCCCTGAATCAAGTGCTCCCCTTGGCTCCCTGGCCGGGCGTGCACACCCAGCAGTGTCATGTAGCTCCCTGGAGAGCTGGACCCAAGGGGGCAGCCTTCCTTGGTGGTTAGAACCAGGGCATTGGTGCCAGGCATTCACAGGTTTAAATCTCAGCTCTGGACCTGAGACCCCACCCCTGGTAAGTGACTTCACCCTAAAATGAACAGGGAAGGGCTGGCTCTCCTGGCCTGGAGATTTCACAGGAGGGAAATGTGTTTCTAAAGGCTCAGGCCTCCTTCGTGCCTGGTCTCCTCTAAGCCTCATAACAGCTCTGACAAGTGGGTACGATCATTACTCCCATTTTATAGAAGACACGGGTAAAGGAGTCTTTCCAAGGTCACACAGCCTTGCAGGGCCTTGAACCCCAATTCCCTGTGCCTCCAAGTCAGATGCACTTACACTCCCCCGAGAGGTCTCCCTTTCTTTTCTCCTAGAAATTGTTCCCCACCGCCGCCGCTGAGCCGCCGCCTGCCCGCAGGGTCAAAGGCCCTAAGTGGCAAGTTGAACCAGAACCGTTGGAACTGGGGGGACTTGGCCCTGCCTAGCCCTGGTGCAGCCCCCAAATGCCTGACTGCCCTTGCTCTTGGGTTGGGCTTGCTGACAGCTGCCTGGGTACACCAGGCGCAAGGCGTGGGGACCAGCTGCCGCAGGGCCTCCCCCAGCAGCTCCCGGCTGTGTCGGGCTGCCCTACCCTGCAACGCTGCAACCTGCAACCGTAGTGGTGTCTGCCCGCTCCCCTCAGGGCTGTGAGCCCTTCCAGGAGGCCTGGGGGCTGGGGCCAGGAAAGCAAGAAGCTGAACTTGAGCATCTCGCATGCTTGGGTCCCTGCCGAGGTCCTGGGAGAGAGGCCTTGGGAAATCTGTATTTGTGATTTGTCACTTTTTCTTAAAGAGGCCCCCAAATTAAGTAAGTGTCGGGCTCCACAGAACCTAGCTCAGTGCCCAGACTGGGGGCAGTGGAAAGGGTCCCATCCTCCTCCCCTCTGCTCCGCGCTGGCTCAGTGACTTCAGGCGAGACCCCCGCCTTCCCACCTGCACAAAGGGGGTGACGCCCGGAGAGTCAGGGGGTGCAGCGGGGGCAAGGAGAGGAGCTCAGGGTCCCCAAATCCAGAGGCCCTTCACCAGCCCGGACTGTTTCATCTGCAACAGCCCTGCGGGGTAAGTGGGGGCCCCTACCCCCATTTTCCAGCTGAAATAACTACTTTGGAACTGAAGGACCAGGCGGCCGGCCCCGGGCTGGGAT